AAATGAATTTTGCTTGGTTTCATGGTCCCTTGCTATAACCATAACCTTGATTTGGTTAGTTCTCATGTGAGTAAAGATGAGCACTGTGTTTCAATATTAGAAAAGCAACAATTTAGTCTATTCTTAATAGGATTTTTAAATTGAAACAGTCAAATGAATATTTTTGTTTGTTAATCCTCACCATATGTTTTTCCCATTGCTTTTCAGAGAGTTGAGGGGAGGGAGAGTGGGGGGATGGTGGGAGGGAAACATCAATGTGAGATCTCACATCAACTGGTTGCCTCCCACATGTTCCCTGGCCGGGGATGGGGAGCAAACCCGCAACCAGATACGGGCCCTTGACTGGGAATCGAACCGGAGACCTTTTGGTGCGCAGGTTGATGCTCTAACCACAGAGCAACACTGGCCAGGGCCAAATGAATTTTTAATTTGTATGCAACACAGAGAAGGCCACAGTTGTCAAGACCTATTAGGAAGGAGACTTTGTGTTCTAATTTCTTCTTTGCTTTCTTGTAGCTTGGCATTCATTAAACGCACTCCAGTCATTGATGCAGACAAACCAGTGTCTTCCCAGCTCCGCATTCTCACGCTCAGCGAGGACTCCCCATATGAAACCTTGCATTCTTTCATTAGCAATGCGGTGGCTCCTTTCTTTAAGTCCTACATCAGAGAGTCTGGCAAGGCAGACAGGTAAAAACCATTTTCCCTTTGTTGGTTTGAATCATATTTCACTACATCCTCACAAGACATTGGAAAATGATGTAAAATTCAGGAATCGGGAGGTAGAGCTAACAACCAAGAGGATGTAAATCTGTTGTGTTAATAAAATGTTTATTATTAATATTTGACAGATCTGAAATAAGAGCATGTCTTGGAGACCAATAGTGCACTAAGTATTGAAATATTTTCTGTCTTTTTAGGGATGGTGATAAAATGGCTCCTTCAGTTGAAAAAAAGATTGCGGAACTTGAAATGGGACTCCTTCACCTGCAGCAAAACATTGAAATTCCAGAGATCAGCTTGCCAATTCATCCAATTATTACAAATGTCGCAAAGCAGTGTTACGAGCGTGGAGAAAAGCCCAAAGTTACAGACTTTGGAGATAAGGTTGAAGACCCAACTTTTCTCAATCAGCTACAATCCGGAGTTAACCGCTGGATCCGAGAAATTCAGAAAGTAAGAGCACAGGCTGAAAGTAGTTGTAAAGGCTTCACACTGTTATCTGTGAGGTAAATTCTTGGGTGACTGTTGGCCGTACCTGCCCTGGGTGCCGGGACTGCTCAGCAGGCCTGCCAAGCCCGGGGAAGTGGGAGACGCGCACCATCACCCTGAGCCTTCGTCTGACCTCTTTCCTACCTGTGACAAGTTCAACTACTTGTCATTTACAGGCAGGAAATCCACTTGAAATATGGAAATTAAATTGTAATGCATGTGTTTAGTTAATGATACTTTTTCCACCTTTATTTAAATGTGAATACCCTTCAGTGTTATTTTATGTTTAAAGGTGACCAAACTCGACCGAGACCCTGCCTCGGGAACGGCCTTACAAGAAATCAGTTTTTGGCTGAACTTGGAACGTGCGTTGTACCGCATACAGGAGAAGCGCGAGAGCCCCGAGGTTCTGCTTACGCTGGATATCCTGAAGCACGGCAAGCGCTTCCATGCCACCGTCAGTTTCGACACTGACACAGGTAAAACTAGAACTGATCATCGATCAGGCAGTTAATCTGCCTTTTGTGAGACCTTGCTGGTAATTGAGATGAAAGTTAATGTATGCACCACCTTTCCTTTTCCTCTCGCATCTTGTCTCATATCTCCCCCAGTCCTAGGTAATGAAAGTGACTTTCCACATACTTCCCGTTTCCTCCCGGGGTTTGGAGGACACATCCAGTTTCTAGGCCTGAGTGTCGGGAGCCGTGGGAGTTCCATCCTGTCCCTGTTACTCAGTCCCCGGGCAGGCTGTGCTTTCAGTGTGAAGTCAGTGTGCCCCAGACAGACGGCAGGAAGACGGTTCACAGAAGCAGCAGTTACTTGCCTGCAGGGCTGGGAACAGAGAGCTGCTCAGTACTTCCTCTTCCTCCTCTCACTTGCTCCGTCCTGTTCTCTGCTCCCCTCCCTGTTCTGAAAGGGGGCGAGGAGCCTTTAGTTTTCTGCATGGGCCGCAGTGAGTGGTGTTTCGTTAGCACCCAGTGGGCACATGAACTTTGGAGCGCTCGGGCACAGTTGGCATGTGTGTACGACTCCATGCCCACGAGGCCCGTTAGAGCCAGCAGCCGGACCACAGTCGTGGCAAATGTTAGAGGAAATTTTTGGTGGAAATCGTCCTATCACACTGTACACGTTACCTGGGCATTTACTAATGTGGAAAAGTATACTTGAATTTTCTATAATACCTCCGAAACCTTTATGTCTTTTTAACATGTTTTCAAAAATCTTGTGCCAGAGGAAGTAAAAAACTAGACTAGGACCCAGGTGTTTCTGTGATTGTGTCAATAACGTGCTCACCTAAATTGTGCCATGGGCATAAAATTTAAATTCTAGTGTTTTTATTTTTTATTTTTATTTTTAACAATACATTTCTTTTTTTTTTTTTAATATATTTTATTGATATCTTACAGAGAGGAAGGGAGAGGGATAGAGAGTTAGAAACATCGATGAGAGAGAAACATCGATCAGCTGCCTCCTGCACATCTCCCCACTGGGGATGTGTCCGCAACCCAGGTACATGCCCTTGACTGGAATCGAACCTGGGACCTTTCAGTCCGCAGGCCGACGCTCTATCCACTGAGCCAAACTGGTTTCGGCTCTAGTGTTTTTAAAGATGACAAAATTCTAGTTTTTTAAACTTGTTTTTAGTAGGACATTTAGATAATCTAGAAAGCAAAAGAAGATGAACTATGAGGGTATCCCTGATGCTCTTTAACAAGTGAAAATGAGGCTGTGCTAGGATCATCCTATTAATGAGTTTTTCCCCCAAATATCAAATCGTTTCTTTGTCACTAAATCTTTTGCAACATTAAACTATCCCATCATGAGGACACATTTCCGTTTACTTTCCCAGTAGTAGGCCTGTACGGAATATCCTGTAGTTGCATTACTTTTCAGTCGAGGTAAGATTGACATCTACCATTGTGTTAGAGTTGTTTTACTTTATATGAAAACCATTAACTGTCTCTTAATCTAGGTCTAAAACAGGCTTTGGAAACCGTGAATGACTACAACCCTCTGATGAAAGATTTCCCTCTGAACGATTTGCTGTCTGCCACTGAGCTGGACAAGATCAGGCAGGCTCTTGTGGCGATCTTCACCCATTTGAGAAAGATCCGGAACACGAAGTATCCCATCCAGAGAGCCCTGCGCTTGGTGGAGGCCATTTCAAGAGACTTGAGTTCCCAGTTACTCAAAGTGTTGGGCACTAGAAAACTAATGCATGTTGCTTATGAAGAATTTGAAAAAGTACGTTTTACTATATCAGAAACCAACCTCGGGGCATTGAGACCAAACTGCGCTGTAATAACAAGCTTCCTTTCTGAAATTACATCCTAGGTTATGGTTGCGTGCTTTGAAGTGTTTCAGACTTGGGATGATGAATACGAGAAACTTCAGGTGTTGTTGAGAGACATTGTCAAACGGAAAAGGGAAGAAAATCTGAAGATGGTGTGGCGAATCAACCCTGCCCACAGGAAGCTTCAGGCTCGCCTAGACCAGATGAGGAAGTTTCGACGGCAGCACGAACAGCTGAGAGCAGTCATCGTCAGGGTCCTGAGGCCACAGGTGTGATTCCCATCCCAGATATTCACGCGTGATTGTTTCAGATGAACTACTTGTTTCTGTTTTGCATTATTACTCCTTTAGCTCCGTCTTGTCGCTGTCATCTTTAAGATCTAGTGATTCTGTATTATATTGTTTCAATCCAAATCTTTAACGTTCTCCACCCATTCATTCCTACCCTCAAATTGCATGGACCATAGAGCCAGAACCTGCAACCCACTGCTGAACTAGCTGTGTGACTTGGACACATTATTTAACCTTTTCTCCAGATTCCTCATCTGCAAAATCTATACTAATAAAAGGGTAATATGCTAATTAGACCAGGAGACCTTCCAGAAGACCTTCCGGACGTCCTTCCAGACAAAGTCATGGTGGCAGGGCCAAGGAAGAGGCGGTTAGGGGAGAATCAGGCCAGAAGGGGAGGGCAGTTGGGGGCAAGCAGGCCGGCAGGGGGAGCAGTTGGGGGCGAGCAAGCTGGCAGAGGGGCATTTGGGGGCGATCAGACCGGCAAGGGGGGGCAGTTGGAGGCAAGAAGGCCAGCAGAGGGGGCAGTTGGGGGCAAGAAGGCTGGCGGGGGTGGGCAATTGGGGGCGAGCAGGCTGAGTGGTTAGGGGCAATCAGGCAGGCAGACAGGTGAGCGGTTAGGAGCCAGCAGTCCCGGATTGCGAGAGGGATGTCCGACAACCAGCTGTCGGACATCCCCTGAGGGGTCCCAGATTGGAGAGGGTGCAGGCTAGGCTGAGGTCCCGCGGCCCCATGCAGGAACAATGATTGCTGCAAGCACCTCTGAGAGAAAGCCGCCCTCATGTTCCAGCCCGATGCCAGACAGTTCAGTTTCTCCCTGTGTGAGTCTGGGTCCGCAGAGTCTTGCTCGGAACTGGAGTTCAGAGCAGTCAGGAGCTTGTATCTCCCTCCCAATTCAAAAAGACAACAGCGTACCCAATTGCCGGCCCGTTTCTGCGTGCCTCCATACCTCCTCCCAGTCTCAGTGTGCTTTTTTCTTTCCTTCTAGTTGTATAACTTCCACTCAGCCAGCCTTCCCATGGTTCTGGATGATACCGTTTTGTCTTTTAGTTGTAGTTTTGATGTGGTTGTGTGAGGCAGCAAGTTCAGGTGTTTACCTGTGCCGCCATCTTGGTTGTCTCCTGGTTTGATTCCTGATCAGGGCACTTGCCCAGTTTGCAGGCTCCATCCCCAGTAAGGGGCATGCAGGAGGCAGCCAATGGATGATGTTTCTCTCTCATCATGTATCTCTCCCTCTCCCTTCCTCTCTCTTAAAAATGTTTTTTAAGTGTTTGACTAGAGTCAAACAAGCATTACCGAGGCTGACTGGTAATTTGTGTGTGTGTGCTCTGCTGGTGTACAACAGAATACAGCCTTCATTGGTAACCTTGTCACGAATCCTTCCCTTTCAGGTCACAGCGGTTGCACAGCAGAATCAAGGGGAGGTCCCTGAACCCCAGGATATGAAAGTAGCTGAGGTTCTTTTTGATGCCGCTGATGCGAATGCTATTGAGGAGGTAAACCTCGCCTACGAGAATGTCAAGGAAGTGGATGGACTGGATGTTTCCAAAGAAGGCACAGAGGCGTGGGAGGCCGCCATGAAGAGATACGATGAGAGGATTGACAGGGTGGAGACCCGGATCACTGCTCGCCTTCGCGATCAGCTCGGCACGGCCAAGAATGCTAATGAGATGTTTAGGATTTTCTCCAGGTTCAACGCACTGTTTGTCAGGCCTCACATCCGCGGGGCCATCCGTGAATACCAGACCCAGCTAATCCAGCGCGTGAAAGACGACATTGAGTCTCTTCACGACAAGTTCAAAGTCCAGTACCCACAGAGTCAGGCGTGTAAGATGAGCCACGTGCGCGATCTGCCGCCTGTGTCTGGGTCCATCATCTGGGCGAAGCAGATTGACAGACAGCTGACCGCCTACATGAAGCGTGTGGAGGACGTCCTGGGCAAGGGCTGGGAGAACCACGTGGAGGGGCAGAAGCTGAAGCAGGATGGCGACAGTTTCCGCATGAAGCTCAACACCCAAGAAATATTTGACGACTGGGCCCGGAAGGTGCAGCAGCGGAACCTGGGCGTCTCGGGGCGCATCTTCACCATCGAAAGTACCCGGGTTCGTGGCCGATCCGGGAACGTCCTCAAGCTTAAGGTCAACTTCCTCCCCGAGATTATCACACTTTCAAAAGAAGTTCGAAACCTCAAGTGGCTTGGTTTCCGAGTCCCTCTGGCGATTGTGAACAAGGCTCATCAAGCCAACCAGCTCTACCCGTTTGCCATCTCCCTGATTGAGAGCGTGCGCACCTACGAGCGCACCTGTGAGAAGGTGGAGGAACGGAACACCATCTCTCTGCTGGTGGCCGGCCTGAAGAAGGAGGTGCAGGCCCTGATCGCAGAGGGCATCGCCTTGGTGTGGGAGTCCTACAAACTCGACCCGTACGTGCAGCGGCTGGCGGAGACTGTCTTCAACTTCCAGGAAAAGGTGTGTTCCGGGCAGTCCTCCCGTGGCCAGGACAGCTGGCTCACCATGTTGGTCTCCCGTGGCTGCGGGATTACAACAGGAGACGTGGGAGCTGAAAGGGAGAAAGAGCCACTGGGCTGTTTGACGGGATGAGGGCTTTAGGGAGGCCCTTGAATAACTAACACCTGAGTTTAGAAATCCGTGGAGAGATGACAGGCACAGGAGTCGAAGAGCGAAACGAGAGCTTTGTTCCTGATAAAGCTGCCTGGAGAGGCGCTTGCTGTCGCTCCACCCTGACCTAGACTTCCGCCCCGGCCCCCGCACAGCTGGCCAGTGTAGGTCCTGCGCCTGCCGCTGCAAGCAGGCCAGAATGAGTGCGTCTGGTGCACGCTGGCTCCCGAGGACAGGACGGAAGCGAGTGGAGCCCATCTTACTTCTGCTCCCAGACTTATCAAGCAGAGGCCGTCCCTCCCGTGAGCAGGAGGGAGGAGGGGCAAGCTGACAGTCTCCATACATTTCCCTTCCCTCTCACCCAGTAGGATTAGCTGTTTATGGAAAAACTTCTCTGCCTCGAGCATTTGTCAGTTGAGAAGAATGTACATAAAAATTAAGGGATGGAGTGAGTAGATGTTTTAAATATTAAATATACTTCCCTTTAGGTGGATGATCTGCTGATTATTGAAGAAAAAATAGACCTGGAAGTGCGTTCCCTGGAAACCTGTCTGTACGATCACAAGACTTTCTCAGAGATCCTGAACAGGGTCCAGAAAGCTGTGGACGACCTCAACCTGCACTCGTACTCCAACCTGCCCATCTGGGTCAACAAGCTGGACATGGAGGTGAGGCTGGGCACTGAGTGGCTCCTCACTGACATGGAGGTGAGGCGGAGAGACAGAGAGACATATCGATCGGTTGCCTCCCACACACGAGATCGATCCTGCAACCAAGATACGTGCCCTTGATGGGCATCTAACCCGGGACCCTTCAGTCCATGGGCCAGTGCTCTATCCGTTGTACCAAACCAGCTAGGCCTTTCCTTCACTTATTTTTTCTTTTGTTTTATTTCATTGATCATCTGCCTCCTGCACACCCCACACTGTGACCTGGTTCATAGGTCAATGTTCAACCACTGAGCCACGCCAGCTGGGCATGCTTTCCTTCCCTTTTAAAAAGGGTAAATCAGTGGCGGTGTATTCACACAAAGGGAGACCAACAGAGGGAAAGCTGACAAAGCCCACTCTACTGAGTCCACTGACAGTCTCAGCCTTCCTCACGGCCGCCCTCACCGCATCCCAGGCAGTCCTGTGGCCAAGGCCAACTTTTCACAAAGACACACAGGCATCCTGTTCACAGAAACTTACTTGTCTCATTCTAGGTCAGAGAGAAGATTTTTTTCTTTACTTGTAACAGAAAGTGGTCAACATGGAGGGTGGTAGATGTTGATCAGACTATTGTGATCATTTTGCAACATATACAAATATCTAATCACTGGTGGCCCAGTGTATGGATTCGTGCACATTGAAAGGAAATTAATTAGAAGGTGGCAGGCGGGGTGGGACTGGGCATGATGGGCTGGACATGCCCTGGAGCCAACCTCCCCGGGTCCCACCCCGGCCAGCCACACCTGGGGCAGTGCTGCAGCTCAAAGGGCGTCTCTGGAGTGAGCGGGGTCCCTCCAGCAGATGGGGTCCCTCGGCCTGGCCTGTGGGGATCAGGCTAAAACCGGCTCTCCAACATCCCCCAAGGGGTCCCAGATTGCAAGAGAGCGGTTCTTGGGTTCTCACCGAGAACCACTGCTGCCAAGTCACTGCAGCTCAGCAGCTCCTGTGTTGAGCATCTGCCCCCTGGTGGTCATTGCGCGTCATAGCTACCGGTCAGGTGGTTGGTCACTTAGCCTTTTACATATATAGATTATGCCATGCCTGAAACTAATGTAACATTATGTGACAATAATACCTCAACAATAAGAAAAAGAAAATGGTTTAATTTTCAAATTACAGTTTTCTAGTTTTATCTCTGAGGCGACCAGGAAAACACTTGTTTTGTGAGTTTTCTATTATATCAAACAGTATCAGGACCTTAGTTGCATATCTGAGTTTGTGTTACTCTCCTTACCACATGTATTGGCGACTCGGCCCTCAGTGGGACAACACAGTGAGCCTAATGGAGACAGTTACCTGAGGCTGGGAGGAAGCGCTGGAAGCGAGACTCAGAATAGAGGGAGGAGGGTTACAATTAACTCTTTATCTTTGACCTAAAGCCTCTGTTTTCTTTTTTTTTCTTCTTTTTTTTGAGTAAGGAAAGGTTTATTGATCAAGAAGGCGCCTCTTCTTTCTATTTAATGTGCTCGGTCAGCTCCAGTTTAGAAGACTCACTGTTCTGCAACACTGCTTTCTCTGCAGATTGAAAGAATACTGGGTGTCCGCCTGCAAGCTGGCCTCAGAGCTTGGACCCAGGTGCTTCTTGGACAAGCTGAAGATAAATCAGAAGTTGACATGGACACAGACGCGCCACAAGTTAGTCACAAGCCTGGTGGAGAGCCAAAGATCAAGGTGAGTGTTTCCCAGAGCATCCCATGCAAGTAAATAAACCTCTGCCCTGAAACGTACCAATGAAAAAGCCTCTCACCATGGAAACCTGACAGACATCACCTCACGCGGTGACCCAGGCCGGCATCCCCCATGATGTTGTGTGGGACCGTGTGCGGTGTGATCAGAGGGTGCCTCGCCCCCAGGATCTCGCCCAAATCACTCCGCTGCCTTGAGGGTCATTGGCACAATGCCTGACCAGTGCCCAG